ACACAGATTTTCTAGAACCCAAACTTTTATTTCACTTCAATTTGACCTGTGCTCTTACCTCTGTGCTTAGAAAATTTAAAAGAGACTGTCTTTACTCAAACAAATAATGTTTATTTAAAAGGGTTTGAAAAGAACTCTCTGTAATCACATTAGCTGTCTCTTCAGTGGCTTTTCCCCCACGCTAGGAAATATCAGCCATTATGAAGAATTTTGTAGGGAATCCCCTAGAGTGTTCTGCAAGTAAAATGTATTATTTACTTCACTTACAAGAGTAGAAAATGGGTTTTGTAGAGGGTGGACCCCTCCCTCCCTTATCTTATGGATGCTAGGCTAAATAGACCATGATAGTGGTCTGTCAACCTTGTCATCTTTAAGAGGGGTAGATTTCAATTCCCAAAATTCCCTAGCCATCATGGCTAACTGGGGAATTCTGGGAATTGAAGATCTCTCTTAAAATTACAAAGTTTGGCAAAAACTGGCAGCAGATCATCTGTAGCTCTGAGTTTGCAATTTTTACAACTTCTGAGTGGAGTTACTCATTGTGGTCAATTTCTAAGCTTTAGCTCCTTAGACCAGTGGTTCTCAACCTTTTTAATGCTGCGACCCCAACCGGTCGTAAGTCGAGGACTACTCAACTGGTGCAGCACCGTTTGCAGAATGGGATTTTTGGCGGGCTCAGCAGGGCAGAGACAGCCTGGACAATTCCTATTGGCTTTTGAAAGCCAATATAATTAGAATTTATTCAAGAGAGTCTATTCTATTGGCTGTCAAAAGCCAATAGAATAAAAGGGAGTAGCACAGCTAAGGAAAAGGGGGGGGGGGAAATGGCGGACTGCGTTGTTTGGCGACCCCCGTGAAATGGTCGTTCGACCCCAAATGGAGTCCCGACCCACAGGTTGAGAACCACTGCCTTAGACCATAATTTGGGATATGTATATAAGTCAGGCATTAGGAACACCCCCCCGAAAATCTATTCGTTACTATTAAGCTGAGCAATTTGGATTTATTTATGTATTTATTTTTGGATGCTTGCAATATACCCCCACTAGGATCAAAGTGAAAAGTCAAGACAAGTCTACAATGCAGAGGTTCTTGCTTCAAGGATAATAGGTCTCCCCCTGGGCTTCAGAGAAAGTAGCACACAAGCCAGAACTTTTTGACATTCACCTACATGGGCATTCATGAGAAAAGGTTTTGCCTTCACTTAATTTTTGAACTTCCGCTTCGTGAACAGTGGAAGAGAACTCCTTTTGGGTCAGCTGTTGTATTTCTGCCAATAGCAGCAAAGCCATGCATAATAACGGTAGCGTCTATAGCAGCGGTTCTCCACCTGTGGGTCGGGACCCCATTTGGGGTCGAACGACCATTTCACGGGGGTCGCCAAACAACGCAGTCCACCATTTTTTCCCCCTTTTCCTTAGCTGTGCTACTCTCTTTTATTCTATCGGCTTTTGAAAGCCAATAGAATAGACTCTCTTGAATAGAGTCTAATTCTATTGGCTTTCAAAAGCCAATAGGAATTGTCCAGGCTGTCTCTGCCCTGCTGAGCCCGCCAAAAGCCCCATTCTGCAAACGGTGCTGCACCAGTTGAATAGTCCTCGACTTACGACCGGTTGAGCAGTCCTCGACTTACGACCGGTTGGGGGTCGCGGCATTAAAAAGGTTGAGAACCACTGGTCTAGAGACTACCCAGTAAATAACCCGTTTTCTCTAAATTGCCCCATTTCGTTCTTTTACAGACCATAGTCGCTATCAACAAAGACCCTGAAGCGCCCATATTCCAAGTTGCAGATTATGGCATAGTAGCTGACCTGTTCAAGGTGAGTCTTGCTTGCAGAGGAACCAACCTGAGCATGTTCTTCTTCTTGACAGTAAGGGTGGAAGTTGAATTAGACTTTGAACCTGACTTTGAGGCATTTAGTCTTCTTTTTTCGGCATGGAACTTCTCGTCTCTGTGTACAGCAGGGGTCTTCATACTTGGCCCTTTGATGACTCATGGACTTCAACTCCCAGAATTCCTCAGCCAGCCACACTAGCTGAGGAATTCTGGGAGTTGAGGTCCACAAGTCATCAAAGGGCCAAGTTTGAAGACCCCTGGTCTACAGCACTGGATTTCCTGACCCTTAATATTTCAAGCCATAGAAAGCTTCATCCACCAAACGTTATCAATTTTTGACTTCCAATTTTGATAGCAGGCACACGTGTAAATACAATTGACTTCTGACGAACCCAATCTATTGCACGCTAGACTGCATTCTTTTTCAAGAATATGAAGATGTATCTCGGTACAAGTGCAAGAGACCAAGTTGGATGAGATTGCTATAAAACATGATTGTTGAAGACTTGGAAAAGCTCTCACCCAGAGTATCTGCCAACAGTTAGGGAATTGATTGATTGATATTATTAGGAGGTATCGCCCTCATCAGCTTTTTAAAGACTGGCCTGCAAGGAAGCAAGAGATTACCTATATATGCTCTTATAGCACGTTATTGTGGGATCCTTGGTGGTTTCTGAAGTTGATCGTTTTTTTCAGACATTTCGTGACCCAACTAGGGAACATCATCAAAGCGTTGCACTGTCAAGATGGCAGCCACAGTGATGTGATGGCCACTCCGCCTGATGGCATGCAACATGCATAAAAAGTTGCTTTGGGTTTACCACTGTGGCCTCCATCTTGCTTCCCCCCCCATTATGCCTTGCAGACCCTCCCCACAAGGAGAGAAGACAGACTGAATTTAATGCTGTTTCTTGGTGATTGCCTGCCAGCTTGGCAGTAAACACAGGCCTTTTAATAAGCTGGAGACAAAGTGACATTCGGAAGAAACAAGATGTAGACAATTTCCTTAATAAATTTTGTACGACCACATTATTTCCACTTAATGGAAATGTAGCTCTCTTAAATAATTGAGAGGCTATATTCATCAGACGGTGAGTTCAGCTGGGATCTCTCCAAGTGAGGGCCTCCTTAACGTCGTCTAGAAAGATAAAGGTAATGGATATTTTACACAAGCAGTTTGCACAAGAGCTCAGGTGTAACCGGTAAGGAATATGCCTCCTGTTCTCATCCTTCGACACTCTTTGGATGACAACAAGGAATCACCTAGCTGCCTGGGAGTTTAGCCTTGGCAGTTCCACCATCAGGGGCCATTCCTTGGCACCAATTTCTACAAATAGTGGGGTTTTTTTTCCAGTTGACTGCTTTCAAAAGTTAAAATCTTTGTTTAAAATAGCTTCCTGTGGTCAAAAAAATGAAAAACTGAAACTGAAATATATCAGCATGTTAGTTGATTGGCAGTCCAGGTTTACACATCTTGTAAGTTTGTTTTTTAAAAACTGAATTCAAATGTTTAGTTGCTTCCAATGTTGATAAATTAACATCTCTTTTACATTGATTAGAGTTGGATAAACATCTATTGCCTATTGTTATTTGGCTGATAGTAAGCTTGTTTTGTGTTGCTTCCAGGTTGTTCCCGAGCTGACGACAGCATTAAAAAAATGAAAGCTACTCCATGTTTCGGAAGGAATGAGCATCTCTTCGACGAGAGAAATTATTTTTAAGCAGTTTAAATTATGTTTTATCAAACCAGAAATGTAAAAATTGCCCAAAAAGTGCCAATAACGATCTTGCAATACACCAATTTTAGCCCTTTTCATTTCCATTTGGCTTCGTTATTTTCTGAACTCTTTTTTCTAATTCTCTAATAAACATACATCTGCTGTCTTTTGTATTATATCAGGCTGTGGAAATTCTTTGTATTATTCTACAGTGTGATCATTAAGAATTGATATTGACTTAATAATTGAGTCGGAAGGGACTTTGGAGGTCTTCTAGTCCAACCCCCTGCTCAGGCAGGAAACCCTATGCCATTTCAGACAGATGGTTGTCCAGTCTCTTCTTAAAAACCTCCAGTGTTGGAGCATTCATAAGTTCTGGAGTCAGGTTGTTCTAATTGTTCTGTCAGGAAATTTCTCCTTAATTCCTGGTTGCTTCTCTTTTTGATTAGTTTCCATCCATTTCTTCTTGTCCTGTTTTGGAGAATAGCTTGACTCCCTCTTCTTTGTGGCAGCCCCTGAGATGTTGGAACACTGCATTATGTCACCCTAATCCTTCTCTTCATTAAACTAGACATATCCAATTCCTGCAACTTTACTTACCAAAGGAAGGGGGCTATGGCACAATGGGGCGGGGGGGAGGGCGAGAACTAGCATGTATGGAGTTTCAAAGGATCCAAAATCAACCTATGAATGGCCTGTTTTGGGGTCTACTACCAGTTACCATTGGCAGTAGATTTATGCCCAGGTTTCTGAGTGTAAATGGATTTTTGGAGGTAGACATTTCTCCATTGTGATCTCAATTTGGGAGGTACAATGTTCTAAACCCCTCTAATTAGAGTTTCTGGGAATTAAACAGCTCTTACAATTATTTAGACAAATGTTATGGCCGAAGTTACTCCATGTGGAAACGACTGATCGTTTTTGAAATTCATACACATGAGAGCCAAGATAATGTGAGCGTACCTGAGCCTATCATGGAAATGAAGAAAAAAAAATAGCAATAGCACTTAGACTTACATACTGCTTCACAGTGCTTGACAGCTCCCTCTAAGGCAGTGTTTCCCAAACTTGACAATTTTAAGGCATGTGGACTTCAACTCCCAGAATTCCACAGCCAGCAATGCTGGGAGTTGAAGTCCACATGCCTTAAAATTGTCAAGTTTGGGAAACACTGCTCTAAGGCAGCAGTTTACGGAGTCAGCATATTTACCTCCAACATTCTGGGTCATTTTACTGACCTCGGAAGGATGGAAGGCTGAGTCAACCTTGAGCTGCTCAGGATCGAACTGCCGAATTGCTGGCAGTCAGCAGAAGTAGCTTCTTTTAATTAATTCTTTAAACTAAAAGTTTCATGTTCAAAATATTTTTCTTAAAAAAAGAAAAAAGCTGCTACATGATCAGCTCTTCCAGCTAGAATAAAAAAATGAAAACGCTGATTTAGAATATTGCCTTTTTTTTAAAAAAAGTTTTTTTTAATTAAAATTGTATTTGTAAAACGCCCGTTTTTGTTCTGTTATCATGGAGGCAATAATTACTTTTTTTTTCCAAAATATTTCTTCCCCAAAGTTCATGCTAAAAATGAGAGAACACTTACTTTAAAATTCTTAAAGCGTTTAAAGACGTCTTTGAGCTGCATCATTCAAAGCACTTCTTGAAAAACAGGGTTGTTTTTTGTTTCCTCCCCAGGAAGATCAAAAATACTTGTCAATTACTTAATACAAATGGATTTATAATTGGTCACATACAAAGGGGCATTGTAAGAAATTGTTAGGAGGAGAGAGATGAGAGTTTTTACTGTACCCTGGTGAAACCTGACCTGATAGAAGATTGTCTGGAGTTCAGTAAAAAGGGTAGGATTTGTCTCTGCTTGGCTTTAAAAAAAACACACACCTTAAGAATCTGTACATCTTTGAGGTCATGGTTTTAACAGCGTTCACCTCCCTTGCCCCCAAACTCTACGTTGAGGGCAACAGCCAAGGACTCCAGGTGGCAGAATTGATCCGTATTATTCTTCGTGCTGGCTCTCGTAACTCATGCATTTTGAAAAACGAATTTCCAATTCTTAAAGCCACATAAGATACCCACCCCGGAATTGGTTCCGGGGACCCCGTTTTAAAGCTTTAGTGTGCCCCGCCCCTGGCGAATCACCGACTGATCTGTCTGAACCGCTTCTTCAACCATAAGGACTAGGAGTCCGGGATGCTGTTGAACCTTTGCTCTTTGGATTCCAAAGACGTGTACTTGTCAATCATCTGTGTTTTCTGCCGGAAGTGGATGACCGGCTTTTTCTGAAAGACCCCAAAGTTTTCTTGGTTCTTTTTGTTGTAAATATTGACCCGGTGCTCCAGTTCGGGGCTGGCTGTGGCCGACCCCGCTGGGCTTGGCAGTTTAAGGTTAACCGGGTCCAGTCCCTTTTGGGTTAAGCAGGAGTCTTCTGATAAGGAGGACAACAGTTCTTGGACAACGGCATTATGGACCCTGCGATGGGGCGAAGAAGAGCTGACCTGAACGCCTTGGGCTACCTGACAGGCCCGCTTCAAGGGGCAATACTCTGAAGAATCCTCCCGAGTCGTGCTGCAGTCCGTGGAAGAGCCGAAGGTCTGGCTGCTGTCGCTCTGCGCGCGGGTGAAGGAGCTGTCCGTGGACCTGGAGGCGCTGCCAGACGCGGCGCTGGTGGAAATCCCGTTGCTCTCCATGATCTTCATCGGCATTTCCACCATGAAGAGGTCGGAGGAGACGTTAGGCTGGTGGACATCAATGGCTGTGGTGGTGATGACGCAGAAGGCTCCTTCGGGCACGCCGCTGTCTGTGTAAAGAGGCCAAAGGTTAGGTTGCGTTCAGAGAAGGGCCCTTCTAGAAATGAGGGGATGTCTTCAGTATCCTCAGGACTTTAAAACACACACACACACACACACACACACGGTTGGAAGATGAGCACTGTTCTAACCTTGGGTTTCTTGGGTATAGAGTTACTTTCTGGAGTCCTTGCTGCCCTCAGAGCTTGGCTGATGGCTTGCAGACATTTCATAATCTGACTGGGTAACGTCATCAGCATCACCATCTGACCAGCACCATCATCATTACCCCCAAAGTCCTGATGAGGTTACCCAGTTGGATTATGAAACCCCTGCAAGCCAACAACCAAGCTGAGAAAGCACCAAGGACCTCAGTGCAATCCTGAGCTACCAATATTGTCTTCTGGCGGGAGAAGAGAATATTTCTCACTTCGTTATTGTTTGGTTTGGTTCCCCCAAGGAAAGTCATTTTTTTTTTCAGCTGCCGTTTAAGAGACCATATTTTTAAACGCGACTATTCAGAACTTCCAGTGCACCCTTAAATTCTGAGAACTTTTAAAAATCGTAGTGCAGATCAGCCCTTGCTTTCAAAGTTCAGGCACAATGAATGAAACCTGTTAGGAAATTCTCCTTGCAAATGGCACAAAATATAACTGGACAAGGTGTAATCTGCTCACTTTAATGAAGTCTAAAAATGAAAAAAAAAAAAAAAAAATTTAAAAGACTGGTGTTTACCTGGATATGAAATAAGCCCACTGCCCATTCTCAGTTCTCCATTTTCAAGAATTATATCCTTGCCCTATTTTCCAGCACAAATTGTTAACACTAACCAACTTAGCTCCTGAATCATCTGCTAATTCCGTCTTTCAATAATCAGCACCTTCAAATAACAAACCTCTTTAAGTGTTAATTCATTTTATGAAAAGCCATGTGGTCTGCACCAGGGGACCCCAACCTTGGCAACTTTAAGACTTGTGGACTTCAACTCCCAGAATCCCCCATGCTGGCAGGGGAATTCTGGGAGTTGAAGTCCACAGGTCTTAAAGTTGCCAAGGTTGAGGACCCCGGGTCTACACCAAGTTGATGGTCAAATGTTATGGGAGAATAATCAACTTGAATGGAACTCATTCCCTGGAAGGTCCAACTATAGAAAAAGGGTTTTTTTTTTTTGTGGAATAGGATTTAATTGCAGAATAGGAGTTAATAGCGCTCCTCCTGGCCTCAGCTGCCACGTGAGACGAGGTGGATGTGAATCCCAGCTGCTTGTGTGAGCTGCTGAGGCAATGCCGGATCAGCATAAAGAGATCTCACACGGATAGGCAATAAATGATCCTAGGGGGACGAAGAAGTTGGTGCTCCTTCTGGAATTCAAGGGGGAACAATGAAGGGGCAGCAGGTTGCTTTGGGGGAAGGCCCTCTTAAAGACTCCACTGAAGGTGCCTCTACATTTCAAAATCCGAGCTTACCACTGCTGGGTTCGTTGTAGTACTGACTGATGTAATTGTTCATGTCGTCTTTCACCACGGTCTCTAGAAAGGCAAAACGGAAACCATTAATAGGAAACTCCAGCCGTAGCCTTGGTCCAGATTTTCAAGAGAGGCTTCCATAATTCCAGAGTTCAGAAGCTTCTCCAGGCCTCAGAAGACGCTCAACAATATCCTATTTTATGCCAAGCTTGGAAGAGGAATTTTTTTTGTGGGGGGGAGAGAAGATGTGTTTTCTGAAAGAGCATTTGGGATCGTTTTAACCAGAAACCACCACCCCCCTCAATCTTGTAAAGTTACAGAAAAAGTTCACAGCTCATGTTTCCACATATGACATGATGATACCGGTGGACACTTTTCCCGGTGGTCTTGAGAACTGCTAACTTTTAAGAATCTCCAGAATTCAGGGGATACTGTTTTTTTCTTCACATGCTCAAGAAAGCCCTGCACTTAAAAAAGAAATTCTTCAGTTTTCAGTGTTTCTCAACCTTGACAATTTTAAGGCATGTGGACTTCAATTCCCAGAATTCCACAGCCAGCAATGCTGGCTGTGGAATTCTGGGAGTTGAAGTCCACATGCCTTAAAATTGTCAAGGTTGAGAAACACGGAGTTAAAACTTCCTTCAAAAAGTGCAAGTCACACGTTGCAAGCTTTTTCATTTCACGTATTTGACTGTGTATTTTGGGGCCAGTAAAGGAGGAATTCCATTTTTAGTTAGAAGTAAGGAATAAACCTTAGTAAAGCACTTGTAAGGAGAACCCTTGTTTTATTCATCGATTAATGACATTTTTTTATGTCGCCCATCTCCCCTGCAAGGTGACTCTGGGTGGCCCTGTCTTCCGATAAACTGTCCCTCGCTGTCACCAGATGACACAATAATGTAATTTGCTAAGGGGGTGAAATTCTCAATATTTTTTCTCCGCATTTTTAAAAAATACCTCCTTCACAAAGAGATAGCAATCCAGGCATATGGAAGATGGAAATGCCAGCTGCTCGGCAGAACGTATGGGAGAGATGAAGCAAGTGGTCTCCAGATTCCAGTAAAACACACACACACAACCCCCCCCCCCATTTTGATACCTGGAGAAATGGAGAGAATGCTAAAATTATCTGCAATGGGAATGGCAGAAGTCAATAAATGTCGTGACCTCACATGATTGGGCGGAAAGGGGGGGGGGGGAAGCCCGGGTTAGAAGTTGCAAAAATAATTCTGTTCCAAGCACATGTGGGCAGGAACACCCAGCTCGAAAAGGCAACCTGATCCGCTCACTTTATGGCGCACTGCATGCCGTAAAAGCATCTACTCTTGTTTTATGTGCACGGTTTTTTTTTTTTAAAACCCATTTGAGGAAGGAGGGGAGCAGTCAGGCCTTGCTCGATTCTTTCAGCGGGAATCTCTTTAGCCCCCCTGGGGTCTTTGCGGCTACCGCCCAGCCTTCTTCACAGCACATTGTGGTTTGTAGGTGGAAGAAACAGATGTTTTCTGGGTACGTGTTTCCCTCGTGGAGTGCTGGGTACCTGAACGAATGAAGCTCTCGAGATGGCAATCTAACCTGACATTGAAAGGGAGCGTAGCTGCCCTCCTGGTTCCACTGGCTTTTTAAAAGCTTTTTTGGCCTCTGTTGATCTTTAAATGCCTGCAGTCCGAGGGCGGCTTCTCTGCTAATGTCTGAGTTTAGAAAGAAGCCTCGGTGCAGCTCAAGGCAAGCTCCTGGGTGGGGAAAACCCTGCCAGGCTTGTCAGCTACGTGCCGTTAAGATGCATTTTGTCTTGTTCATCCATCACCAGATCTACAAACCACGTGGAGCTGTTGCTGCAGGCACGGCTGGTGACCCGTTGTGACAGGAATGGCCACAGAAGACCCCACGCTGGGCTATCTCCATGGCAAGCCCACACTGCAAATGCTATGGATCCAAAAGGCTGGGAAAGCTTAGCTCCTCCACCATCCATCTGGCTCATGCAGCAGCTGACCAGATGTGATTGGGGCTCTTTAAAAAAAAACAACTCTTCCACTGTCTTTCTGCAACAGCTGGTATTTAAAGGATGCTCTCTGAAATTCAGAGGGTGGTACGCCCCCCCCCCCCCAATAGGACAGAAAACCTCTCTAGAAATTGTTTAGACCACTGTTTCTCAACCTGGGCAACCTGGAGATGGGTAGACTTCAACTCCCAGAATTCCCCCGCCAGTCTAACTGGCGGAGGAATTCTGGGAGTTGAAGTCCACCCATCTTCAAGCTGCCGAAGATGAGAAACAGTGATCTAGATCAGTGGTGGTGAACCTATGGCACGGGTGCCAGAGGTGGCACTCAGAGCCCTCTCTGTGGGCACATGCTTCGTCGCCCCAGTCCTAGGCCTTCAGCTGGGTTTTATAAAACCTTTTCGCTTGAGGCCTCCGCTGCCTTGTGCAAAAACAAAAAAAAGTTCAATCAATCAGTCAATTTCAACTTCTTGCGGGAAAAAAAAAAGATCTTGCAAAGTTGGAATTGACTGAGCTTTTTAGTCCCACCCAGTCTGCTGTTACCACCGCAGCCACGCCCACCCAATGGCCACACCCACCCAATTGGCCACACCCACCCGGCACCCGACGATGCATAAGTGCGTTTTGGGTTGCAGTTTGGGCACTCGGCCTCTAAAAGGTTCAGCATCACTGATCTAAATTCTTTTTCAAAACCCGGGTCTTCATCATTACATCGGATGGCAGCAAATTCTATACCGTTTAATCATCTCCCCTAAAGTCTCTTTTCTCTCAGCTTCAGCTCAGATCTTGGCGATGATGTTAAACCCCTGATGCCGTTTTTCTAACCATTGCCTTCTTCCAGAGGGTGTCAAGCTCCTGGCTGCCAGTGCTAAACTTTTTCCCTGTTTAATTTCAAGAGACGGCCCTGTGTCCTTGTACTGTGACAGGTGAAGAAAAGAAACAATCTCTGTTCCACATTTTCAACGAAATGTAAGACACAACTAGCAACAGAAAAAAAAAATCCAGCTTCTAACAAAAGTGCATTATTTGGAATAGAGAAACGAGACTGCAAATAAACTAACAGGTAGATCAAAACCAAAGTAGTTACACTGGAACCTTGGTACTCGTTGTTAATCGGTTCTGGAAGTCATGATGAGCACCAGAAATGATGAGTATCAGACAAATTTTTCCCATAAGGAATAATGTACCGAGTCACCGATACCGACAAATTCTAGCATGTGCTTTGAGTAAAAATAATAATAACAACAACAATATTTGCACAAGACCAAGACTTGCACAAGACCAAGCCTTAAGGACAAATGCATATAAAGTCAAAATTGAGAAGACAGCAACAGACAGTAAGTGCCGCCTAGGCAAACAAGCTGAAGAAATAGTGGACCACCTGGTAAGCTGCTGCAAGAAGATCGCACAGATTGACTACAAGTAATGGCACGACAAAGTAGCAACAATGGTGCATTGGAAGATCTGCAAGAAATATCATTTGCCTGTAAGCAAGAACTGGTGGAATCATAAAATAGAGAAAGTCATAGAAAACTACTCTGGGACTTCAGAATTCAAACAGACAAGCACCTGCAACATAACACCTCAGACTTAACAATTGTCGATAAGAAAGACAAAAAAGTCTGGATAGTGGACGTGGCAGTGCCTGGAGACAGCAGAATAAACGAGAAAGAACTGGAGAAGATAACAAAATACAAAGACCTACAAATAGAAATAGAAAGACTGTGGCAAAAGCAAGGAAGGGTAGTACCAATAGTCATAGGCTCCTTGGGTGCAATCCCAAAACAACTGGAGCACCACTTGAACACCATTGGCATTGACAAATTCGCTATTAGTCAATTGCAAAAGGCGGCCTTACTAGGAACTGCTTCCATCCTGCGACGATATCTGTAATACCATCAAACATCCACATCTGCCTATCCCAGGTCCTGGGTAAGGACTCGATAGGTAGACAAAATGCCAAATCCAGTCTGAACATCTGGCTGACTGTGCAATGATCAATAATAATAACAATAACAACAACAACAACAATAATCTTGGAAGGGACCTTGGAAGGGACTTTGAGGGGCATCTAGTCCAACCCCCTGCTCAGGCAGGAAACCCTATACCATTTCAGACAAATGGCTGTCCAATCTCTTCTTAAAAACCTCCAATGTTGGAGCATTCACAACTTCTGGAGGCAGGTTGTTCCACTGATTAGTTGTTCTAAAATTTCTCCTTAGTTCTAGGTTGCTTCTCTCTTTGGTTAGTTTCCACCCGTTGCTTCTCGTCCTGCTTTCAGGCCCTTTGAAGAACAGCTTGACTGCCTCTTCTTTGTGGCAGCCCCTGAGATACTGGAACACTGCTATCATGTCCCCCCTAGTCCTTCTCTTCATTAAACTGGACATACCCAATTCCAGCAACTGTTCCTTATATATTTCATCCTCCAGTCTCCTGATCATCTTTGCTGCTCTTCTCTGTACTCAAACAAATTATCAAACAAACAATGAGTACCAGGACAACATTTTCTCATCAAAATGTATTTGAGTACCAAATCTTATGAGTTTCAAAGCAGTTGGGTACCAAGGTACCACTGTAATTGGCTAAAACAAGCCCTGAAAATGACCGATGGCTTTCCTTGAGAAAAGAAAAACAAATCCATTTCCAGTTTTTCTCACCACAAGAACAACCTAGACTCATGGACGAGTCATAAAAGAGCCAAGGTTGCCTATCCCTGACCTAGACAATGAACGAGTTAGGGCGGTTAGCTCTGGACCTCCCTTTCCTTAAGTGTTTTGCAGCAATCACAGGTGAACTTACTGTTTGCTGCAATGAGAAAAATAAAACCAGGTCGGCTCCATGTTCTCAGGTAAGATCGATTTCAGCAGATGTAAATAATTCAAGTTCAAATCATGTCTCCATAAAAGATGAGAAACATTCTGAGTACTTTATGTTCTGGCAGGAAAGTTACGAGCCTGAAGTTTTTTTCTGGTGTAGACATAAACTGAAATATGCAGGGGAAGAGTCGGTCTCTCTCCCCCAAGCTACAGGCGACAGGTGTAATCCTCCTGCTATTGGCCGATTGGAA